GGACATGTTTCTCCTCTTTTCTTCTTCTTCTTTTTTTTTTATTCTCTGTTTATAATGTTCGACGAAGCGATGCTTTCTTTCTACATATGTCGTACATATCTTTTTTTTTCTATTCGCAGGATTGTAGACAAAAGTTCCAAGGGGGCTCGTTCTTTGATCACGAAGGTTTACCCTATTGCGAAACTCATTATCACGCTAAGAGGGGATCGCTATGCGCAGGATGTCATAAACCAATTACAGGTTGCCGCGCCTTTACTTAACCACTTAAATCACTTTTACCCCGGTTACGGCCGTTAATGGCATTGAAGTCGTTAAATGAGGATTATTTTCTTTCAGGTCGTTGCATAACAGCCATGTTCCGGAAATTCCATCCAGAACATTTTGTATGCGCGTTTTGTTTAAAGCAATTGAACAAAGGTACATTTAAGGAACAGAACGACAAACCATATTGCCACGGATGCTTCGAGAAGTTGTTCGGCTAAAATTTTTACCGCTAAAGTATTCGTATTTGTAACATAAGAACGACGAACCAGGCTGTTTCGCTCTGGGTACTACTTACAATTTTATAGGCCGCTCACATATGCCTATACCACGTAGAATATGTAATCGCTTTAGTCGTTATACGGAACCCACACGTATAATCTCACGATCTTCAAGCTTCTTGTCGTGAACACGAAACGAAACAGCCTTTCGAGGTTTTTTCTTTCTTTTTTTTTTTTTTTTTTCCTTGTAGAAACCTCGATATGCAAATGGTGCGACAATTGAATTATGTGTCACGGTATCGTTATATATTCTTATCGTAAGGATAAGGTAATAGGGTAATCATAGTCATTATTTTATCTTCGATATAGTCCTTAATAAGGGCTCGTTGCTAATATTTTCACGAATATTTTATATTACGTACTTCACATTGACCGTACGATTTAAGGATTAATAATGGGTGCTAATTAGTAGCTTATTTTTACTAATAATGTATTTGTTGGGAAGATGTGTCCGAGTGAAGAAACTGCCACTTGAAAAAATATTTATGTGAAATCGAGACATTACCAAATATCCGCGGTCCTTTTTTTTTTCACATTTCATACATGTTTATAAAATATTATATTTATATTCACGACTGAAACACACGTCGGCGAAAGTGTCGCCTTTCCAAACGGTTTTTTTTTTTTGTAGGATATTGAAATTAGCGTCTGCCAAGTTTTCAATAAATATGCATAGGAAATACATTATTAATCGTAAATCTAAATAAACTAAATTAATCAAAATACTTGATAAACGCATAATGTAAGAACAGTAAAAATATAAGAGTTGAAAATTCAACGATTTCATTCGTCGTTCCTTTCATAATTTCAGATTTCTTGTTTATTTGGCATACTGTTGCACAGCGGTATTCTATTTACCGACAAACATATAATAAGTATTATATACAAATAATATTTAATTATTTTCGACAGATGTGTTCAAAAAACTTCTACGTCGATGTATAAATAGAAAATAGTGTAACGATTATTACGGTTCAAACAGAACTTAACATTACGAATTACATATATAAAAATACGCACGGAATTGTACATTTAAACTCTATAGGTGAGTTAACCAGTTCATAACGTGATTGATATTGTGCTACGATTTGTGCTATATTGTTCTCTTTAAAATAACAAAAAAGAACAAACAAATCTCTAATCACGGGTTGTCCTTGCGCAAGCACGGCTAGGATATATCACAGACGCTGTATTTTTTATTTCCTTTTTTCAGGAAACTGTCATGCTAGGGTAGGAAATAATTCAGAGAAACTCTCATGCCAAAGGTCCGTTAGGTCTAAGTTATTTTTCTCATTACGTGTATCCGTATTTGGAGAATCGTGCGACTCGTACCCACAGTCGGACACGTTAGAATCTAATTTCGTTTGCGTAGAACTAGTATCCATATCCTCGGAATGTATACTCGAGGGTGACATAGAGTCCGTGCTTGTGTAAGATGGTGACAAATGATTGGAATAATAATTCGGTGTTAAGTACGTGAAATCCTCGTTTGAATCAACACCGTCCGCAACCACTTCTTGAACGCATTCTTGAATGCTGACGCTGGTGTTGTCTCCAGGATATATGATCGTGACGGAATTGGTTGCTTCGTCGTAGGTACCATATATAGTGTCCAAATCGTGCGTTTCGTCTTCTTGTTTTACCTCGACCTCGGATTTTATTGACACAGGTGCAGTTGTGTTTGTGGTATAAGGTGTATTAGCTGTGCAAGAAACAGGATGCCATGGTTGATGTGTACTCAAGCTTCTACAGGTTCCATTGGCTTCCACATCTTTTGATGTCTGCCCCACCATTCCTTTTGGATGGTCACATTTCTCTGTGATATTTTCCTTGGCTGATACCTATGCAAGATACAATCATTATGTCATTAACGAAAGGAAGACTGAGTGGTAAATGAAAGATATTAATTTAGAAACGAATGAAATGCTGCATCTTCGTGTGAATTTTTAAACGATTTTAAAAACAAGTGGTAAATCTGTAATAGAATATGTAACAGCGAAGCTTTCTTGCCCTTTCAAACAATTCATTCATTCCTACAATGTGCAAAAATCAAATAAAAGCAATGCTTTTTGTAAAATGTCAAACATAATACAATTTAGTATAATCATAAAAATATTCACTTGTTCGTTTGTTCTATGAGAATTTGTTTCCACTTCTGTGGTAACCTCTCGCAAAAGGCTCTCTGCAAGTTCTTCAAGTCGCTCGATGTAGTCGTCTCCTTGGAGGTCACCAAATAATTCTTCAAGAGGAGGTAAATGGTCAGTATTTTCAGAAGAATTGCTGCTCCTGGGGTTAGTGTCAGAGGTGATGCCAGCTGTGTTGTTCCACCCTGCTGCAGAGGGTGAGAGGGGGATACTGTAGATCCCAGCGAGGACACAGCACAGCCGACACGACCCTGACACATGGAACAGACAAAATCTCCCGCGTTCCTGGCCTCTCTATCCTTGCTCAATCTTTTTGTTTCAGCGACCAACACCTCGTTTTGCGACCTCAACATCACGCATTCTTGCGATAGTAATTCATTTTGCTCACGCAACGCCTTCACGGTTTCTTCCAATTCGTCGAGCTTAGCCTTTTTACGGTCCCGCGAAGTTTGAGCTGCTACCCTATTTTTTAATTTCCTATAAAACAGAATTTCGTATTATTCCGATAGCTTGGCAAGATGTTCTTCGAATTGCATCATTTCAAATCCATTCGTCAACGTACTTCCTCTGTAATTTTTCCTCCCATGTCAAGTGATCCAGTCGTCTCTTTTTCCCGCGTATACAAACATCCGATTTAAATAGCGTACTGTCATCGTCTTGAATTTCTTCGTGTTTAGCGATTCTTTTCGGATCCATCCTCGACTTGTCGGTCAATAAAGAAGCGGTGAAATTTATTTTTGACACAGATTTCGACAATTCGTCCGCCGTAATTAAGCCAGGCGCCTTTGAAAGGCCCTTAGGCAGCGTGATGATAACACTCTTCAATACGCTCATAATCAGCCATCAAATATAGAATGAATTTGCTATTGTCACTTGTTTTACAACTTCACAGCTTTATTTCTCCTCGAACTGCTCGCTCCACAAAGCGTCAGACAACTGATCCGGTACATAACACTGACCGTTGGAGAGAAATTCCGTATGCGTTTTCTAGCTGATGTAATCGTACTGAGGAACTGCAGCACTTGACCAGCTATAGAACATCCTAGAAGCAGAACTTGCACGAAGCTTCGATGTGACTGGTTGAGTCTCGGGACGTTACATGTGGTGTCCCGTTATTGGCTGCCACGTCGCACTTTTTCGCGTACTCCTCTACTACTACTACGACTACCATCGAGTAATTGTACACTGACTGACGTCATCCTATACGGTACTATCGCATCATTTTCTGTATCCGTTCCGCCTCCAGTAGCAATACCATGCGATAGCACCGACTGTTTGGGTGTATTCTAAAAAGAATCATGGCATCTAGTTCCACGAATTCTCGGTATCATATTTTGTAGTTGTTGCGTCATTTGAAGACAAATTTAACGACTACAGGCCATAGTACAAACGATTATTAATTGTTTCATTGATCGTCGTAAGATTTTCATTGAACCTGGTAGCACAGACGTTATTTAAATCGACATATGTATGTCAAGAATGCGAGAGGAATTTTGAGTATGTTACGTGTTTTAAACAAAACGAATACAGCTGGGAAAAAGAAGAGATACTATACGAGAAGGATTAGGTTTTTTATAGCAATGAAATCAGATGACGCAATTGTTCTAAAAAAGATATTAATTTACTTGTACGAGAAATTAGAAGTAAAACATTTCAAGTTACTACGACATCAATACAGTGGCGCCCTCAACGGGACTTTCCTTATGTATATATAACAGTTTGTTCACTTACCCATGAAGATAAATTAGGTAACTGCACAACAGACGGTCCTGTAGACTGTAAAAAACAATTTACGCATATCGCTTGAAATTAAATTTCATATCCGTACTTCAAATGTTTATTATATAAAATGCACGAAATATTATATAGAATATTACATACAAAATCTATCGAGAAAAGAATATTTAACAATCTCGAAATAGATGGAAGTGCATTTCCGACACAGGAACCAATGAGAGAATTTCGGGCAAAGGGAACTAGGCAGGACGTTTAGGGTTGGCTAGCCCGGTGGTGCATCGCGCGTCGCATTTCATAGATACTAGCCATTAATTTCGAGAATCGACCACGGTGTAGAGAAGGAAGCAGCAGGGAAAGCGAGAAGGGAATAGGGAGAAGGAAGAGGGCGTTGCAAAATATCGTGAGCCAACACGAGGGTTCGACAGGAACTTGGCTTTCAGTCGCAGCTCGGCAGTCTGTACGGGACGATCGAGTTACGTATAGTACGGTGTGCAGTTTACATACATATACGCGTCACGGCGCATGTATTAGTGATCATAGGCGCAGTCTCGCGTGTGCACGGGTAACCGATACGCCGAACGAGTTGACACACGCGCAGCAATGGCGTACCCCCTTGAAGAAGCCTGAACGTGTTCCTCTCGTCGAAATATTCCTTTGTGTCTGCTGTGTGTAGTGTGTGTAAGAAAGACGGATTATCCAGAGTAAAAGAGCGTACATGTAAACCGACGATAGAATCGTGAAACGACGTCGGCATTATTTAGGGTGTTTCACAGACACGTCGAAAACGGAAGAACGAACGTTACGCCCAAGCCAGAGACCCACGTCCAAGTCGATTATTCGTTAGCTGTACACGAATCGGGTCCTTGTTTTAACCGGATTTCGACGTTGTTGGAAAATTTGCTCGCGATACGGTTGTTCAGACGGAAATTGACGAGAGTGCATGGCATCCTGGCGATTATTAAACGCGAAATAGGATGCTCTGATGTAACGGCCGGGGCGAATCATACGAAGGGCTCGTGACAGAGTAAAGTGGATTATTACTCCACGCAAAGAGGGATTGAAAGAAAGGGGGAGGAAAAGAAGCGTGGAGGTAGGAAGGAGAGAGATAACGAGAGAGAGAGAAACGCGTAGCAGGCGGAAGATCAGTAGAGGCACAAAGAGATCGATGTTGCAAGGAAGCCGGTGTCGAGTGAGTCAGGGCCGGTGGTGTTCGAATTCGTAGTCGGGTTTTAAGCTCTTTACCTACGACTTTTTTTCCCTTCCCTCTCTCGAAATATGCGATAACGCTCCTTTGCTCCGCGTATATTGGGGGGCTTCCACCTCGAGGGCTTTCCTCGGTGTTGGATATAATAGCTGATTGGTCCAACCCTTGGATAAGGCAACCCTCTCTCGCAGCGATGAATCGTACCGTTCTTCGTTGGCTCGCTCCAAGGTGTGCCTGTGACAGCTAGAAGTGGCATGATCATCGATACGTGATCGATTCCTAAATACAACTGCAAGAGAAAGATAGAGAGAGAAGGAACTAAGAGAAAGGAAGAAAGAAGAGTGGGGTGGTTGTTGAAAGAGGAAAGTAAGACGAAAGAAGAAAGGTTCGCAGAAAATCGGCCGGAGAGGATCGCGAAACTCTCGCGTCATCCCGGCTGTATAGTAAAAAGAATCTCGTGGCGAATCTCAACGCTGGGCGAGACGGAAAGCAGCAGCAGTGGATCGTGGTTGTCATTGAGGAGAATAATCACGAGGATTCTACGAAATGAGTGCCTAGCGTTGGAGGTGGGTCGTTGGTCAGCGGGCGCGCAAGAAGGGACGGTTGTTCGCCGGCGGAAGCCTGGATAGTAGGAGGTTTCCAACATGGCCGCTGCATGTTACGAGAAGGAAGTGGTGGTAGGTGCCGCTATGCATGGACACGGTCATCACCATCATCACCACCACCATCATCACCATCACCATCACCATCATGGGATCACCGGCGGTTCGAACGGCGGCAGCAGCGGCGGCGGTGGCGGCGGCGGCGCCCAAGTCGCCACGGCCGCTGCTGTCACAGGCCCAACCGGCCAGCAAACCGTCCTCCCGGCCGCATCGACCGGCATCCTCGACACCACCGCCTCCGTCGCCGCTGTTTCCAGCTCCACCACTGTCACCGCGAACGCGAACACGAACGCAAACGCTGCTAACGCTAACGCGAACCCGACGGCAAACACGAATACGAGCACCACCGCGACCGCGGCAGCTGTCGCGGCTGCGACGGCCGCGGCCGCCGCCGCTGCGGTAGCTGTTACTACTTACAAAGACTACAAGGATTATTCTCAGCCGCTCCACGTGGACTGCAGCGTCGAGTACGAGTTGCCCAGCCAGGCGAAGCCACCTCCTGGCGGCGGTGAACCTCTTCTAATGATACACCCCTGTTACTATCGTCGCGCCGAGCGCGAGAGGAGAAGTCCGTTCGTGAACAATCTACCGCCGCCGGCAAACGCACCTATAACCTCGTCCAGGCGAAGCAGTAGAAGAAGCGCGTCAGCGGCAGTTGTCGTCGCAGCCACAGCAGCCTCGGCCACTTCCTCCACCTCGTCCAACGTGGTTGCACCCTCTTTCACAGTTGCTTCCGTTTCTACCTCGACCGTGTCTTCTTCGAGTTCCGCCGCTGCGGCCGCCGCCGCCGCAGCCGTGCTATCAGCTACCGCGGCTGTCGTTGCTACCACCGATACCTCTGGATCGAACCTCGTCTGTACCACCGGTCAGATGTCCGCCGCCGCTATGGCAGCTTCCTATCGTGCAGCTCTCAACGCTGCTGCCAATCTATCTCAACAACAACAACAACAACAACAACAACAACAGCAGCAGCAACAGAGGCGTCAACATCATCCGCAACAGCAACAACCACCGCCACCGCCTCCTCCGCAGCCGCAGCCACAGCCGCAGCCTCAACCGCAGCAAACTCATCATCATCATCATCGACCTCACGTTCATCCCGCTCATCACAGTCAGCAGCAGCAACAACAACAGCAACAACAACAGCAGCAGCAAAGCTCGGTCACCTCGTCTACAACCGGCACCGAGCTGATCTCTGCCGACGAGAAAGCAGTCATATCAGGTATTTATCAACACTACTTCCGCGCGATGCGCGCTCACAATCATCAGCATCGGCAACAGCAGCAACAACAGCCGCAACCGCCGCAGCAACAAGTTGCCCAACAACAACAACAACAACATCGCACCACCCATCAACTTCATCATCAAGCTCACCAAAGCGACCGAAGTTCCTCCTCGTCAGTGGCGCCGACGGCCACTTCGATCACCGGTATACTACGCCAGACGTATCAACAGACCACGTATAACGCGACCAGCTCGAACTCGTCGAGCCATCTCAGGGCAGCGACGGCCACAGCGGCGGTCGGCCATCATCCGTACAGACGGCCGTCGGCGACGTTGCTTTCGCGTGCCGCGTCCCATATTGGCCAGCAAGTATCCTCATCCTCTTCCTCTACGTCGATCGGTGGTTCCAGCGGCGTTTCCACTGGCGGCGTGTCAAGCGTGTATGCGAGCACGATACACAGGCACCATGCGTCCTCGTTGAACGCCCTTCAGGCGGCCGGTTTTTACGAAACGCCCGGTTATCATGCGCTCTTGCCGCAGAGTTAGGTGTTCACCAACGGTAACCCGCTCGAGACCGACCCCGTTGCTAGCGTTCATTTATTCACCTAATCCACGGCCTCTGTTGGAAAGCTGTGCGCGCCTCTATTCTTCCCTATTGTGCGACTTATCTTCCACACACTCGTTAAAAAGCAACATACGGGTTGGTCTACTCTACTACACACGTACACGTACATACACACGTTAGATACACATATACGGAATGATACATCTATCTCTCTGCGACGTGTACACGCTAAACTTCTCTACCTACGTGTATATCTCTACTATGCGTATACATATATATACATACGTAATGTACATATGCATATATATGTGTGTATATATATATATACGTATGTATCGTCGTCGACGCAACGATCGTACGTGCCGTGGCTCCGTTGTTGCTGGCAGTAGTGTGTGCGGGTGGCCGGACGGATGGACGGACGGGCAGAAAGCCACAGAATAAACATACGAATGCGTTACACACGAGCATAGTCACACACTTACGCACGTACACAGAGAATACGGGGATCCAAGCCCAGGGACAAATGGAGGGAACTGAAATGATGGTCGTCTGGCTACTGTGTGTGTGTGTGTGTATACGCTTCGACCGATTCCATCCACCTGCGAGATACATGTGCTCTCTGCTCAGGTATAAAAATCCATTTGCTTAGGCCCCGTATTAACGATTTATTTTTAGCCGTACACTTTCAGCCGCGGAGAGACAAGATTTTCCCTCTGCGTAAATTCCTGAAACTTGTGACGCGCCTCTCTCTCTCTCTCTCACTCCTCGTCGGGCAAACATCGTTTCTCGTGCACCACCACCAACTGTCCCTTTTCGCTCTTTTCCATCCATCCGTTTCTCGAATACCGACGGAACTTGCGAAACCGTCGCTGGACAATAGTATTTTTAGGGCTTTCGATCGATCCTTACCTCACGTTCGATGGTATTTCGAACCCGTACCACGTGTGTAGGTGTGTTAGACGCGTTTTTTTAACGACTTATACGATTAGTTTGTAGAATTCTATTAGCAGTGCTGGCGCGTTAATATCATTCCCCTTGGACAGCAGCTTTCACGACAAACCGCCTGTAGAGACATTCGAAATACTTGAAAACCCGATCGACAATCATAGTCTGTAATCGCAAAAGTGCCAAAACCCGACCGGTAATACCCCGTACAGACGTTATCGACAGAGAAAAGGGGTGTGTGTCTGCGCGCGTGTGTGTGCAACGTAGCTACTTTGCCAAACAAAGAGCATGTACAGAGAGAAGACGTGCTTCTTCTTCTTTTCTCTCTCTGGACTTTTCGTTTCGCGACCACATACAGGAAATGGCAGCAGCGAGCTGCGTCGTAGCGATCGTCGCAGTTGTCTTGCTCTAACGGAACGTACCTCTCGTTCTTTCTTCTTCCTCTGTCCAGCCAGTACTCGTCTCTCTCTCTCTCTCTCTCTCTCGCTCTGTTCCTTTCCTCTTCTCGCGGAACATCTCTAGAAACCCGAGGTCCGAGAGAGCCGGGGCAGGATTTCTTCTTTTTTGTCCTGCGCCCTTTTCAAAGAGCGCGCTCAAGGAGAAACGGACGGGGACCGTATTTCGTTACACGGTAACGATCGATCAACGTGACCGCACGACCGCACCGCCGGTGCGGCGAAGCTTTACGAACGATGGATACAAAGCCCAGCTGCATCGCGTTTTCGCTTGCGCTTGTGGCCGTACAGATATATCATATTGCCCGGAGCTGCGTAAAAATTTTCGCGGATCCGCGTAATAGTCTTTTCGCTGTCGATTATTTTTTTTACTACTCCTTCCATCTGCTACGATTCTTCCTCTTACTTTCTTTAAATTCGCCGTTGTAACGTGTAACTCTTGTCTCTGCTTTGTTTTTTGCATCTTTAACCATTTCGCTTTTTGGCACACTTCCATGTTAATTTAAGGCTTAATTTCAAGCCAAGTTAATTCAATAAACCAAACTTTAAGATACGGCCAAAACCATCTGAATCTGCTTACCGCAGCGATCCTCTGCACTCTTCCACGTTAATTCAATAAACCAAACTTTAAGATACGGCCAAAACCATCTGAATCTGCTTACCGCAGCGAAAGGGTTAAATCATAGAATTTTTCATAGACTCGAGGTTCTGCGTCTCTCTTACCGTTCTATATTTCAATTCGACCTTCGGTTTCTTTCCAAACTGTCGTCGTTCACGCCCGTCGTCATCCCTCATCGTCGAAAAAAAACTGTCTTCCCAACGTACCTACGTCTCTCGTCTTCTCTCCCTGCTCTCGTTTATTTGTTCTCTCAGCTTCGCATACGCGCTCGCATGCATGCTCTCACGCATTCGATACACACACACGGTGTGTAGGTACAGTAGCGCTTTGGTGCACCTGAATCCTTTCAGGTTACCAAGGTACTCGGTTACATGGTACAACCAGTTCCGGACATCGTTCAAGTCTAGATTCCATTCCTCGGTCGCGGGTCCTCGTCTGCCGGAAAAGTGAGACCAGTTTAGTGCACGTCTTCTTTCGGTATTCAGATCGTCAATGGGCCCGTAGCATAAGAAATTCTTCGATGGTAACAACGGTCTTCTGCAGCGTCCTCTCTAGCCGACGGGGTACAGTTTCGGTTTAGATTCAAACTCGCTTCGATTCTTCTTGGTGGAACCCTTGGATCTTCCTGATCGTTGCGATTTTACGCTGTCACGGGTCCGAATGTGCCCGGAGTGCTAACCCTTTGCGATCGAGTGTCGTCTGAAAATCGTCGTTGGTAAATTATTAAGACGGAGAGCAGAATTGTGGACCTCCGTAAATTTGTTCACCGTAGTGAAATAGAGAGTACGTTGAATTTTTGAATGAGATAGTACAGTTTATTTCTGCGTTAGTTTGAAAAAATTTTGTCCAGAGGTCTTAAAACATTTTGTCCAAAAGTTTAAAAAAATGACCTCCGAGTGCAAAGGGTTATCTTCGCCGTCCCACTTTGGCAGCGCAGTATGCAAGATACTGTTCGTTACTTCTGCTCAATTTTCAGTTATCTGGTTCACCTCGACAATAATCAACAGCGGTCCGATATCGCTTAAATAAAGTCTCACGTGTCCCCCTCGCGCCTTATTGAGCCCTCCTTGTCCACGTTTTGTTTGACATCCATTAGATCGCCATTTAAGGCGACGTTACCTTACGTACATGGAGAAAACCAGAGTACAGCATCTTCCTCGGCAGTCTTTCATCCATAGTCATCGTGCAGCGGTGTGTCGCTTCGTACAACTCGAGAAACGTGAAAAAGTCGAACGTTCTGGGTCGTAGACTGAACTATTCAAACCGTATTCCGGGTCGGTACAACGGCGTGCATAGGCGCGGCTCGTTTACGGTGTCTCCGGTTTAATGCTGTTTTAACCCCTTTACGCTCACATTTTTGGCAGTTCGATATGCTAAGAACGATCAACGTCATTTTTTTTTTTATTTCCTAGGCGTGTAAACGTAAGTTTCTCATTCAGCTGTAATACCGTAACTTTCATTTTTGCCGAAAGGGCAGCGGAATATGGAAAGTGAAGGAAAATAATTACAGAAAATTCCACTTTTTCGAGGATCAGTTGTGCACGTGTGAGACACTAGCGTGAGTGTTGAAAGGTTGAGCTTCTAATTCAGAGTGAGACTCCCGAGTCTCGCACCAGAAATCCATGATTTTCATATTTCAAACGAGTAGTCTTCCAATCTAAAGTATAAACTATTTTAAACGTGTGGCGGAGCGACTATTACGATTTGCGTCACCACAAGGTTCTTATTTCACGAATTTCTCAGACTCGGACAAGTTAAACTCAGTAGCAACGTGCTCGGGTCCAAACGGACCCAGGCACCGCCCCGCGAGGGTTAAACCACCCCCAAACTCAGACAACTAACAGAAATTCGTCCGAACGTCTCTGTCTCCGGAGTCCCACTCTCCAACTTAAAGGGCTAACGCAACCTACGATCCAAATTTCCCCTCCGCACCTGAATCTTCATTTTCGGCCGGATTTTGTTCCTTAACCAGGCAGAGCCCGAGTGCTCCAGTCTGGATATGCTTTCGAGAGACCTCTCATATGTAGTTCGGTCTCGTCCGCCCAACCGCCGCGATCAGATGCTTTCTGCTCGTTAAAGCGAGCCATCCAAAGTGGCGAAGCGAGACGAAGCGAGGCGAGGCGAGGCGAAACGAGACGACGGGTCGTGATGGGACGAACACGGGACGGGGACGCGGACGACGGCTCGGGACGGGACGGATCTGGGCGGTTACGGGACGACCGATGGGAACGGGGGGCGACGAGAGAGGGACGCGACCAGACCAGACGTGAAGGGGGCGCGGTCAAGATGGGGATCGGCAGAGAGAGAGAGACGCACAGGAGGAAGCAGGATGCGTCTACTTGTATTCCGAAAACACACTCCGACGACCATGTGCACGGACGGACGTTAGACTAACGGCCTCTAATGCGAACCTGCGACTCTCCTCTCCTATAATTTCCACCCGTCGTCGTCGTCGACTCGTGGAACCTTGGAAAAATGACTAGGGATGAAGTTTCGGGGAAATTCTCCCTTGCTTCTCTTTCTTCTTCTTACCTTCGCGCAGGGAAATGGCTAGATACTCGTAGGATATTCCTAAGAGAGAGAGAGAGAGAAAAACTTACCTCTTCTCTGATACAGAGTATCGATCTCGATAAATTTTCTTCCGTGAACCTACTACTCCCTGGTGTGAGTGACTTTAACGACCTGTTTTCCCAGCGCGCGGTGTGCTTTCGCGAATTTAGTTCGGGCATCGTTCCTCGAAGGGTGACTAT